AGAGCTTTCTAGAATAAGTTCTCATGATTCAACAATAGCTTTCTCTTTTTTATCCTAATGGAGCACCATGGCTAAGACATATGAAATAATTGTACACTATATTCTGATAGAATATATCACACTAAAATGAAGTTACAATTAGCATATAAGTGGGGAGATTGGGGGAAGAGGAGATGAAAGCTTTATGTAGGAGAAATCTACATGAATAATTCAAGGCTCATGGTCTAAAACCAACAAGTCAGGGATTGGTGACTTGCATGAAACTGCCTCTTTGAAAGGAGAGTATCAGCAAAGACCCAATAGTGCAGGACCTTGACTATAAAAATACAAGCTATTGCTGCGCCTGGTGGTGCACACCTGTAATCCCAGCAACTCCAAAAGCTGAGAGAGGAAGATCACAAGTTCAAGGCAGGTCTCAGCAACTTATTGAGGCTCTCAGTAACTTATCAAGGCCCTGTCTCAAAATTTAAAAAAAAAAAAAAGAAAAAGAAAAGAAAAGACTGAGATATAGCTTTCAGTAGTAAAGTGCCCCTGGGGGTTCAATCCCCAGTACCAAATAAAGAAAGAAAAAAAAAGAAAAAGCTATATAAGCTATTATTATGTTATTGGCAATAGTAAAATAGTAAACAATGAATATTCTTAGAATGTTACATGACTCAAGAGATAAGATTTTTAGGACAAAGTAATATGCTTACACATGCAAAACCCATGTAAGTGAGGTTGTAAGAATCTTTTGCAAAGCCATTTGAAACCTGAAGAGACGGAGGGCCTCCTTGTGAGGTGCAACATTCAGTTTAGTGAAGGGATATTGTGGGAAGCAAGTCTTTTGGTCAAATTTATAGACACTAGACATGAATGATGACTCAGAGGACATAACAGACCAGGGAAATCTGCAAACATGAAAAATGAACAAAAGTAGAGTGAGGAAGCAGTAGTACTAGATTGGTTGGAGTGGATGAGAAGTGGCAGATGATCCAAAGCCCAATTCTGAGTGAATTGAACAGTCTGAGGTCAGGCACTCACTGAGGACTCACCCCTCATCTGGGATGCTGCATTAGCAAATGAATCACTCTGAAAGAGTGCTATATTGCTCAGAGTCTTTACCTTCAAGTCCTGAGCCAAACTCTCATATCAAGGATTGAAGCGAGAACACTGTACCAGTTGCATGCCATACCTTGGCAAATATAACTACCAGAAATTTCATTGCCTACCTACATTGATTAGGATTTGTCCTGTAAATTAATTTTTAATTTGACTTTATGATTTTAGGAATGAGAGACCAATAAACATTGTAGTTTCAGGTGATAAGAACCTGGGTCTCTCTGAGCCCTATTGCCTTTCAATGCCTCTAAACAGAACAAAGAGAAATTATTATGGCACTGAATTTTTTTAATCCAGTTACTTTGTCAGCAAAGGTGAACAATGTGCATTTTTAATTTATCAATCTCATTTTCTCCTTCTTGCCTCCAACTATTTTGTCAGTGGGTGTCAAAAAGGATGATGATGATGATGGAATGGTAGCAGGAAGACACACACACTCTACTCCTTAGGGATCTGGATATTACCATTCCAAGACAGCATAATTGAAAACAAATTCATAATTTATGCATGCGTGCACGCACACACACACACACACACACACAGGTCTCAATGACTTAAATTTTAATAGACAAAAGGATAATGAATTCTTGTTGCTTGGCAATAAAAGCCATCTGAACAAAAAGGAGTTGTGATAAACAGGCTATTATTATTATAAATGCAATCTAGTTAAAACTAAAAAGGGTTTTGAGATTATGTCAGCCAGCACTGGGATTAAAATATTGCAATGGCTTCTCACTCTCTGCCACTGAAGACCAGGTCTAAGTCATTAAGCCCATGCCCCTATTGCAAAATATCTGTTATTATTCTCATTTTACCACTTGCTTCTCCACCTCACTGGCCCCTTATTTATTTCTCCTGCATACCAAGATTTCATTTTTTGCTTCAGACTCTTCCTGACATAATCATGCTTTCTAACCATTTCACTTTAATCTATTCCAGATATTAATTTTCTTCTTAGTAATAATAATCCAAATTATTTTCTAAACTGGCCTATATATTCATTTTCTATATCTCTATCTACTAAACAATAAGCCTTCAGAGGATGATTTTATTTTCTGACTCATTTAGAACCTATGAATTGAACCCAATAAGGATGTGGCCAAAGATCTGTACACAGCATGCCCATCTCACAGATATTTAATATTAAAGAGATTTTAACCTGGTCTATTCTGAGATTCTATATCCTTTTCCTCTAAATCAGTAAAATTTCTCTTTGGCCCTCTTATATTCAGAGAAGTCACAAATTATTATGGCCATAACTGTGGAATAACTATTGATATACTAACAAATTTCATTTTCCTGGTCATTTATTGTCCCCATTTATAAACAGAAACTTTATATGAGATCATAAAGCCTGAAAGGATTTAATCTATATTATTAGGTTCGGTATACATGAGAGGTTAGAGGTTAAAACAATTTGAAGATAAAGCTTCCCTCTAATAAAGTGCATAGGTAAAATCTTCATCTGCTTTTGTATATATTTATGAGTTCTGGTCATAGGGGTAAATAGTCAAGCCAGATTCAAAAACAAAACAAAACAAAAAAAGGTATTAATTCTTCCTGTTTTGTTGAGTGTCATACTACAGAATAGAAATGAATCCACCATAAGACTGAGCTATCTCATCAGTAGTTTTCCAAATGAACTAAAGTCAGCATACAATAATTATACAGCCACATCAATGTTTATAGCAGTACAATTCACAATGGCCAAAATATGGAACCAGGCCAGGTGCACATCAGTGGATTAATGGATTAAGAAAATGTGTTGTAAATATACAACAGAGTTTTACTCAGTCATAAAGAAGAAGGAAATTATGGCATTTTCTCATAAGTGGGTGGAACTGGAGAACATCATGCTGATGGAAATAAGCCAGAGCCAGAAAATCAGGGGTCAAATGTTTTCTCTTGTATGCATAAACTAAACCAAAATAAGGGAAATAAAGGGGGAGTGTGTTGGAACTCAGGAAGATAGAGGGAAGGTCATTGGAGTTGTGAAAGGAAATTGAGGGGAAGAAAGGAGGAAGGAAAAGGAGAAGAAATGCAGAATGAATTTGACAAAATTACATAATATACATGAATAAATGTATCACAGTAAATTGTACTTTCATATATATCTATAAAGCACCAATTTAATAAACAATGCATATGTTTAAAAAATCAAGAAAAAATAGTATATATATATATATACTATTTTTTCTTGAT